TATATATATATCAGCACAGAAAAAGGCAGTGATAAAACTTTGTACCATTAATACTAACTACTAAAATACCTCTTCCATCTTTACAAGCACTATATTAGGTAAAAATAAAATCCTTCTCAACATCATGAGTCACCAGGGAAATGCAAATCAAAACCACAATGAGATGTCACTTCACACCCACCTAGGATGACTATAATCAAAAAGATAGGAAATAAATGTTTACTAGGATGCAGAAAAACTGGATTTCTCATACACTAGTAAGTGGGAATGTAAAATACTGCAGCACTTTAGAGAACAGTGTGCCAGTTCCTCGAAAGAGTAAACAGTTACCACGTGACCTAGCAAATTCCACACCCAGAGAACTGAAAACATGTCCATCCTGAAAAGTTGTACAGAATTGTTCATAGTACCTTTATAATAGTCAAAAGTTGAAAAGTCCATCACCTGATAAATGGCTAAATGGAATGTGGTATATCCACATTATTTGCCAATAAAAAGAAATAAAATAAATATAGTATGAATGAATCTTGAAAAAATGGTTAAGTGAAAGAAGCCAGTTAACAAGGGATCACATATTATTACATGAAATATCCAGAATAGGCAAATCTATAGAGACAAAATGTAGATTAATGATCACCTAGAGGAAAAAAGTAAAAAAAAAAAAAAAAGGTCACCTAGAGCAGGGCACCTCGGTGGCTGGCTCACTTTGTCTCAGGTCATGATCCTGGGGTCTTGGGATGAAGTCTCACACTCACATCAGGCTCCCCATAGGGAGCCTGCTTCTCCCTCTGCCTATGTCTCTGCCTCTCTCTTTGTGTCTCTCATGATTAAATAAGTAAAATCTTAAAAAATAAAAAAATGATTGCCTAGAGCTGGCAAGATCTGGAAGGTGGAGGGATGACAACTAAAGGGTACAAAATTTCTTTCTGGGACAATGAAAATATTCTAAATTTGACTGCAGAGATAGCTACACAGTTCTGTGAATATACTAAAAGCCACTGAATTATATGTTTTAAACGGGTAAACTGAATGGTATGTGAATCGTATCTCAAAAGTTTTTTTTTATAAAATTCTAATCTTTAATGACCTCTTTAAAATCTTTATTCCTCTTTCCTCATGAAGCTGGATGACATTTTTCCCAGAAAAGAATGTAGCACTAGAGTGCTAGACAAATACCAAGGTTCAATTCTCTACTGGCAATTCTTTTTTCCAGAAAAACTAATATTCTAGTTGTTCAGCAGAAAAGAATTTATTTCTATGATGTCTAAACAATAAGATAAGGGTAGCTTTGATCCATCTGGCACAAAAATGAGTTAGTTTTCCAAGAACATCAAAGGTTAAGAAGTTTTTTCTGTCTGATTAATCAATTTCATTTTCTGTAAGTCTTAATCTGTTAGCTACAGTAAAAATTTTCAGTAACTACATTTTAGATTATAAACAAGAAGAATGAGGAAGAAAAAAGTTAGATTTCAAATAAGAAGAACTGGCTCTAAACTCCTCTATGAAAAATAAATAAATAAATAAACTCCTCTATGTAACAGCCATGTGACCTCAACTAAATCTTTTTCTGAGTAATTTTTTAATCTGCAAACTGTAAATACATCAGTTCTACCAATCTCGAGACTTTGGTTAGGATCAAATACTACTAACAGACTCTAAAATTGTTCATCACTTTAAACTAGTAAAATCTGGAACATTGGAAATATACTATAACACCAAATGTTTGGTAACTTGAACTTGAGAGCTCAGAGGCAATAAAGTCAAAAAGGGAAATAAACAATGTTAAAATGTCAGAATTCTTGGAAGATAGGGGAAATCTTACTTTATAATATACAAAAATATAAGCATGAAAAAATTTTATATTTAACATTTACACCTACATTTTAATGAGGATTTCTGAAATATACCACCACAAAAATGAATTATTTGTTATAATTTTAAATAAGTTGTAATTATTGACAATTTCAAAGTTGATGTTAAGGTAGTACTTCAACACTTATTGGTTTGTAACCGCACTCCTATTGACCCAGAAGTGAGAAAATTTAAACACACTGCCAAGGATGCTCAATACTGGAAGAGAGTAGCACGAAGAAAATTCAGCAGTAAAAAAAAGGAAACCTGTTTAAATGTGGATATAAGTGAATGTATATTCATGTAAACAATAAGTGAGTTTCAAGTGATCCGTATGTTAATGCATTTGGTTGACTACCAGCCCAAGTTAGTTTACCCATCCTCTTATATATTTTTTTCACCCCTTGGTTATCTAGTATTGTGGGAAAAATGCACAGGTATGCCATTCAGCTTTACTGCAAATATTTGGCTCCAACTTCAGTGGGATCTCATGGTTCTGTGGAAACATCTCATTTTTGTCTCTAGTCTTTTCTGTCTTATACTTTCTACAGCAGCTATGACATTTATTTTCTCTAAGTCTCTTCTTTATCACCTCCAAGCTTCATCTGTCCCAAAAAAGAAAAACAGAAGCCATAGGACGGGTTTTCCTTCAACGTCATTTACAACTTACCTGTAATGGTATCCATCGTTTATTCATTCGTTAGAATAGTAAGTACTAATGTGATTCATCATTTATTGATTATCTGCCACATGCCGAACAGTGGGCTGAATACTTTAATATATAATAATTTAAATCCTGTAATAATCTTACAAGTACTTTTGGTCTCATTTTTTACAATTACAAGAGTGAAGTTCAGGGAGCTAAGTAACTTATTCAAGATCTGTAGCTAATGAGAGGTAAAAAACAGAGTTGAATCCGGGTCTGTCTAAGTCACCTTGCCTCTGAAAGTGTTTTAATGCCTACCCCAAGACCTCTAGTTCTATACAAGGACACTGCATTCATAAATTATTTTCAATACTGTATGATCTCTCTTTTCCAACCAGTGCTCAGAAAAGATATCTAAACTGCTATACTTAAGTAAAAAACATAGCTTATGCACTTTATACATTTTCATTTGAAAACAGATTTTTTCTTAAGAGAGAGCCCAAGCTTGCATGCACATGTGCACACATGCATTAGTGGGGCAGAGGAGGGATAGAGGGAGAGAGGGAATTCTAAGCAGGCTCCACACTCAGTATGGAGCCCAACTCGGGCTTAATCTCACAACTCTGAGATCATAACTGAAGTTTAAATCAAGGGTCAGATCTTCAACCAACCACGCCACCCAGGTGCCCCTAAAAATATTTTTAATAAAAGCACACACATATATATGATTTACATTATATATATTATTTATATTTACCATAATTATATATAAAGCATAATATATATTAGTTACATCAGTAAGTTTTTAAAAAATATTTATTTACTTATATTAGAGAGAGCAAGCAGGGGGAAGGGACAGAGGGAGAGAACGCCCCAGACTCCGTGCTAAGCATGGAGGCCACGCCCAATGTGGGGCTAGATCTCCAGAGCCTGAGATCATGACCTGACCTGAGCAGAAACCAAGAGTCAAATACTTAACCAACTGAGCTACCCAGCACCCTTAATTTTTTTTTTTACTTAATGTAAATAAATAATTTAGATCCACTTAAAGTAGGATTGAAAAACTGCCTTCCATTGAGTTTCTAAGAAAAACTCAAAGTATCAGTTTATGCTGGTAACAGATATTATTCACCTACAGAGTGGAAAAAGAAAGATGAAATGTTTCTTCAATTTTCCAGTAATTTCTCCCTTTGGCAGAGATTCATTCCTTCAAAGGTGGAAAGTGGTTTAGCAAGACCTGCAGAAAGAACTAATACTTTTAAGAATTGTGTACTCTCTTTAATGGTCCTGACACATGTAGGCCCTAATTGGCATCAGAAACTTACTCACATAACTTTTAATAAAACTTCATCAGTCTCAGTCTTTAATAGCTCATCAAGGCACATGATTTATTGTGCTGTTCACATAGAAGCTTAACTCCCTACATCCATATCACATCAAACCCTTTTTCCTTCAGCTGTTAAAAATTCATTTCAACACTGAAGCCCCACGCATCTAAGTATTAGAGTCTGTCTTGTTCAATATTCTATCCCCGCAACCATACAGAGATGTTCAATAAACATCTATTGTAATACGTGGCGGCAAGAGAACGTAAGTTAGAAAATATTGGGTAACCTGCTGCACCTTTTAGCAAATTTTCCTCAACAGTTACATGAATCTGTTGTTTTGATTACTATAAAGTATGATATCAAAATCCAGAGCCTATTATATTTTTAAGCTTTAACATAAGATTAGTTTCCAAAATATTTGTTGTTTTGTTTTTTTAAGATTTTATTTATTTATTCATGAGAGACACAGAGAGAGAGAGAGGCAGAAACACAGGCAGAGGGGAGAAGCAGGCTCCATGTAGGGAGCCCGACGTGGGACTCGATTCCAGGACTCCAGGATCACGCCCTAGGCCGAAGGCAGGTGCTAAACTGCTGAGCCATCCAGGGATCCGAATATTTGGTTTTAAAATATTTCAAAGTTTTAAAAACATTTTTCTCATCTCTTTTGGTCCAAAATAAGCCAAATTGTGATCAAGGAACAATTTTTGTATCTTAAATTTATACATATAACATATTTTTATATAGCTAAATCTTTAAAGAGTGGGTTTTCTTTCATTGAGGTCAGAATGTAGACTCTTAAATCCTAAAAGAATGTTAGTTATATTTGCAGTTCATAAACACCTTGTCAATCACTCAAACAATTCAAGAACTGCATACATATTTATCACTGCATTCATTTTTAAACAAATACTGCCAAAGATTACACACAGTGTGAGAAATGTCACCTAAATGCTAAAAAACCTGTAAATATCAATTTATAATGGTAGGTTCCTTACCTGTCATTAAAAAATACATCAGTTTCTTGTCCACTTTCAATTTTGCTGAATGCCATCCACTTATAAATTAGTTATAATAATTCAAAACACCCAGTTATATTTTTTTCTATCATTCCTCAGTGTTTCTTCCATCCTCTAAAATCATGATTTGAAAATTAAATATAAAAACAATTTACAGACCTCCATCCATCCTTTTGGAGATAACTGAAGGCTCCATCAACAACACTAGCAAAGAACTGGCCTCCGGTGATGAAGAGAGTATTGATGGTGACTAATCGACCTCTTAAATTGGGTGGAGAGACCTCAGCGATGTACACGGGCACTGTCATGGAAGCAATGCCTGCGAAGAAACAAGGAAAAGTCAACAGAAGACATTTACTCAAGATCCCTGTTGTTATAAATAATGGTACTAGACAAACACACACACACATACACACACATACTCCCTTGGTTTTCTTTTTTTTAGATTTTTTAAAAATTTATTTATTCATGAAAGACACAGAGAGAGAGAGAGAGAGAGAGAGAGAGAGAGAGAGAGGCAGAGACACAGGCAGAGGGAGAACCAGGCTCCATGCAAGGAGCCCGACGTGGGACTCCATCCGGGGTCTCCAGGATCACACCCTGGGCTGAAGGCGGCGCCAAACCGCTGAGCCACCCAGGCTGCCCTCCCTTGGTTTTCTACTTTAAGCAAAGGTTTACCAGATACTTAAATATTTTGTTTATAACTACTGACTCCTGCAGATAAGTAAAGACATATGTGGATATCTATTTTCATATTATCACTTGAAAGCCTACAAATGGAACTATCTCTAGAGCTCTCACATAACTTTAGAATGTATATAAAGCATGCTTCATAATTTTTGTGGACTAAAAATAAGAAAATGCTCTCTAGATAGGATATAATTATCAAAATATTTTTAGTCTATATGGAAATGTAATCAGACAATAAGAAAAAAAATTATCCCAGACTCATATTAACTATTCAAAGTCATCATTTCCAAATGATGGAAAGACCAAAACTCTTATTGGCCTACTAATAAGAAATCCATAGAGTAAATCAACCTATTCAATTGGCTAGGTACAGATTTTTGAAGTAGCTTACAATGGACAATACTTTGGTAATTTAGAGTCCTTAAGAAGATATGATCTTAACCATAAAAGAGATAACTTTATGTTATAGCTGCTTAAAATTGTTTCTACCTCAAATTAATGTAGCATAACCTATGGTAGTAGTTCTAGAACTCAATTCTTATGTAACCTTTTTTCTTTCTTTTTTTTTTTTTTTAATAAAGATGTTTTCACCTCATCCAACCCAGAACTACGAAATAAAAAACTAGAGATGGAAGATGGGTCTTTTAAAAATCCTCCAAGGACTCATGATGCTATGTTTTTAAAAACTACAGTTCTATGGCCTGCAACTTTAGGCTAACCTAAAATTACTTCTTAAAAGAAAATCTTGGTCCTCTTGGCTATATCCAGCTCACTTCTCAGTGGCACTTTCAATTTCCAGATGTGTCTAATTATTCAACTTAAAACTAGTATCTAATCAATACATGCCAAGGGCTAAATGAAAAAAAAAATCAAGCAGGAGTATCTAAGAAAATGTAATCTTATTCTAGCTGTAGATACCATAAATTGGTCTCTAGATTAAACGAGAACATTAATGGGTTATATAAGATAACCACATGGAACTGCTTTTAATGAATTAATCTTTACAATGCCAAAAAAAATACCCTATATTGAAGGTAGTAGCACCAAGAAACCTGTTGCTGCATTTTCTGGACAAAGGGCTGCTGAAGGTGCTATTCACCACATTCCAGATAACACAAGATACTTGTCTCTGGTCTCAGTAACTGCAACAGTTGTGCTTCCCAGTCTGTGTCTATGGGTGCTATAAATCACATAGCTGACTTTTACCCTTCCCTCTTTATTAGGCAGTCAGAGATGCCCACCTCAACCAAGGGTTTTGGACTTCATGGTATTTATTCTGTGAGCTGAATTCCCTCCTGATGTCACAACTGTCCCTCATTTCACCTATTTTAGTCATAGGCTTGGCCATATTTTTATTTACTTGGTTCCATCTTTGACCCAAGCAAATGGACAGACAAGATTTATTTAAGTTAATATATATCTGCTTCTGTACTACTGAGTAACTCCTAGTAATAAGTCTGCATGCAAGTCAGACCATTAAATCTCAGAACTATACACTGTGGTTTCCACCATTATTTGCTGCTATAGTGTCTATAGAAATACATAAATATACCTAAAAAGAATCTTCAGATTTTATGAGTTTCATAAAATAAGCATGTGTTAGTAGACAAAGTACAAATAGTCTTTACAATTAAGTCATCACCTAAACAGCTGGATGTCTCCATCTGACTGCTAATCAACTTAAGAGAACACATATTAAATTGGCTTTGATCTAACTTGGAAAGAGGAAACATTTGAGGAAAATGTTGACAAATCAATTGTATATTCTTTTTAGTTCTTCTATAATTAGAACATCTCAATAAGCTTCCAAAAAAGCAGACAACAGTAATTGTCTGGATTTCTTTTCCTGCTTGGTCTGGCTGTAACAGGAATTCATTGCTCTCTTTACCCAGATACCTTTACTCAGTTATGCAGACTGAGAATTGAAGCATGGGAAATCAGGACTGCAGTTTCAGGCAGCACATGCTTGTCACAAAGGCACAGATTTTACTTGATAGAAATGTACAGATACCCTCAGGCCTTATAAAGATTATTAAAAATAAACACTAGGACCCTGAAAAGTAACAGAGAATGGCAAAGAGAAAAAACTGTTACTATTACAGACTCATTGGATTTAGAATTGGAAAGAACCCCCCAAAGATCTGTCAAATGAGTGCTCACACTGACTTAACAGTGTTACAACTACCTACATCTGATACTTCACAGGCACTGATTACTTTACTGAATCGTCAAAACATCCCTATAGAGGAGATATAACTAACTATCCCCACTTTGCAAAGAGGGACTCTACCCCAGGTCAGATGATAATAAGGGGAGGAACCAGAATTTGAACCAGGTAAGAGGGACTCCAGAGGCCAATTTTCAAAGTTCCTGATTCTACTGACTGGCCACCACAGATGAAGGAAGTCTCTAGAACCAGTGGGTTTAAATTCTAGCCTTGCCACCTCCCATCTGATTAAGTCAGGACAAAATAACCGTTTTAGGTCTCCAACTCATCCAAATAATGGAAAGAATAAACATAACTCTCTTTCATATGAGTTGAGACTCGAGTTCGTAGAGTAAAAGCACTTAAAATTGTGCTTAGTATATAGAAAGTAGTCAATAATGTTGGCAATTATTTCCAGGATTACTATACCTCTAGTTATGAAGCATTCTAACTTCTTTTGATTCAGTCTGACTTGGTTAGGTGCTGGCATTATCAGGATGAACATAAGTCAACAAAATAGGGTCTCTGTTATAAAAGAAGCTACACACAAGTCCTGCCCACATAAACAGCCAATCAAATAAATAATTTCAAAATACCATGGTAAGGGTGCAGCTACACACTGGGTTCCACCTTGTGATGTGGACAAGGTCTGCATGGTGAGTGATTAGAGGCTAGTTCAGAGAGGCTGGGCAGACAATTCTTCAGAGGAGAGCAATGGCCTTAAAAAATATGAAATAATAAGGCATTTTCTCAGAAGTAAACAGTAAGTGTGAAGCAGAGTATGTATGGAAAGGAGAGGCAGACCAAGCCCAAATCATGGAAGGAGTATCCATTAATCAGTGAGTGTGCATTGTATACCTGATCTGAGCTGGGCACTGTGCTAAGCACTGGGGACAAAGTGCTGTAGGAGAGTCATGTCCTCTGTCCTCCTGGAGCTTAACGTCTGCCAGGCAAAATGTATCTGAACAAATAATTAGATGTCAAATGCGATGGGCCTCACCAAAGGGAATGTGTGAAGAATAGGAGCTCATAGCAAAGGGACTGGCCCAGCTTGATGAATCAGATAGTTCTTGGATAAGATGGTCATATTTAAGCAAGGATCAGGTGACTGAGTAAGCCTGAGTCTAATGACAGCATGGGGAAGGTGACACACACTTGAGACAATTAGTCCAGCTTAGACAAAGGCCTTCAGGCAAAAAGAGACGCATTGTGTTGAAGAAGGGGGTGCTATTTCTGGAGACACAGACAGAGACCAAACCTGACTATACAAGACCTATACAAGAGGCTTTTGTATTAAGGACTTGGTATTCAGAAGCCTTTAAATAGTATAATGGAAGAAAACGCACCATCAGATTCATGTTTCTAAAGAGTCATTCTCTGGAGGATGGAAGACTAATCACAGGGGAGCAACAAGTACAGTGACAGTAAGAGATGAGTAAAATAGAGAGATTCCAGAAGTATGTATTTAGTATCTAGGCTAAAGTGAATTGGAATGGAACATGAAGGATGAGAGAAGAACTGGAGGATGATGTTCAGATGTCCAGAATTAGCAAGTTGGAGCATGATGGCTACTTTGTACAAAGATAAAGGGCACTGGAGAAACAGCAAGTATGGAAGGAGAAGATGACAAGGTCAAGTTTTAACCAGGTTGAGTCAGAGGTGCTCTGTGAAACGCACGAGTAGAGAGCAAGTAGAACACTTGCTGAGTGTGTCAGGAATACAGAATATTGACATGTGAGCATTTCCAGCTTGCCTCCTTTCTCCCACTTGGTAACTCCATCAAAATAGCCAACCTTTCCTTCCTCTCTCATCCCCTAGGGAGAATCTGGTCTTTGTCACCCTAGTTCTTGAGCCATTATCTTGCTAGCCAAAAAAAGGATGGAGAAGAAAATATAGATCAAAATCAGGTTTGCAGGCAGAAGTTCAAATGGAAAAAAAGACTGGAGAGAGTTGTGAATGAGAGGTTCAGGATCAGTATGGAAAACATGGGAGCCTTTAACAAAGGGACTGAGGCTTAACTTAGGATGGGAGGCAAAGGGGTAGACAACAGAGATTTTAAGAAATACTCCTGAGTTATAACTTATGTACTATATTCTTCAAGACACAGAGTATTGCTGCTATTCCAGTGCTTTTAGTTGCTAGACTGTATACATTGAAAAGGACCTTCAAAGTGAGACTGGGTCCAGTGGGGTTTGGAAGTTACACAAGGATCTGAAGCTCAGAAGATAGTTCTGTGCAGATGGTACACAAAACGGAAACCATGGGAATGGATGATATCATTCAGAAACGGAAGAGGAGAATGCCTAGAACTCAGTCCTCAAAAATTCCAGTATTTATGGAACTGCTGGAGGAAGAAAGAAGGAGCAACTGTAAGCATCTACCTTATACCTCAATACTCTGCTGTTCTCTCATTTTTTTTTTTT